CAGCACTCCGCCGTGCTCGACGCCATGTGCGAAGCGCTGCGCAGCTTCGTCGACGCGAAGTTTTCGCGCGCGCGCAGCAACGCAGTGCGCTTCGCGGAGGCGCAGAGCGCCGCCACGCTGTCGCAGACTCTCTTCGGCGCACAGGCGCTGCTGTTGCTACAGCCCGAGCAAGCGGCGCTTTCCGCCTGTTACAACCTGGCGCAGCAACTGTTCGCACTGAGTCCGCTGAACGCGCTCGACTGCGCTTACCGCTTCTCGCACTGCAGCCTTGCGGCGCTTCGGGAGGCCAGCGAAACGGCGTTCCGCGCCGGGCTTTTCGCGTTTCTGAAGACGCTCATCCAGGTGCTCGCAACCGGCTCCCGCGCGCGTGTGAGCGCGGCGGACGTCAGTCTCTTCGACTTTGACAGCGGCGAGGTAGACCCGCGTCTCGTGCCCTCGTTCATGACGCCCGCGCTGGTGTGGCAGCTGCAAGACGTGTTCGCTGCGCTCCGCGCGCTGCGCGGCTCCGACGCGGAACTCGAGAGCTGCGTGAACGAGGTGCTCTCGTTTAGTCGAGCGCTGAGCGGCCCTCGCGACGCACCGAGCGGCGAGTCGCTCGCAATTCTCAACCGTTTCAGCTCCTCAGTCATCGCGCTGAACGGCCGACTCGCGCAGAAACTCTGGCGCCAGTGGAGCCGCGGCGACCGGCTGCTGAACTCCGTGGCACTGCTCTTCGGCTTGGTTCTCGGCCTGCGCTCCGGGTTCCTGCTGACTTACGCTGCCGCCGTCAGCGCGGCGCCCGCCGACGCCGACTTCGACCTGCTGCTTTCCGAGTGCATCTATCGCGATCGGCAACACCTCAGCCGCCTCTACTCCGAGGAAATGCTGCTGAGCGTGCGCTGCGCGCCCGCGGGCGGCCGCGGCGCGCGCGGGCTGCAGCTGCAGTTCGCAGCGCCCGACCTGGCGTACGCCTACAGCGGCGCGGCGCGCAAGATCGACGCGATTCACGCGCTGCTGCTCAAGATGGCGCAGCAGACGCAGCACTTTGGCCGCAACTGGCTGCGGCTCAAACTCGCCGCCACGTACTGCCGCGTGCCGGAGGTTTGGCCGCAACTCAAGAACTTCAGCGTGCTGCTCAACAACATGCGCCGGCTGCACTTCAAAATATGCAAATACGCGGAACGCGCGCTCGTGAAGGCGCACGCCGCGGTCGCCGCGTTCGCGCAGCAGGCGCGCGGCCTCTCGCTCCTGCAGCTCGCGAAGCACATCGAGGCGCAGGTAAGCGCCGCGCTCAACGCGCTCTTTCTGCTGAAGTCGGCGCGGCTGCACGACTCGGTGCTCGAACTCTCGCTCACGCAAGACGCGCAGCTGCCCGAGGCGCAGTTCGCCGAGCTCCGCGGCTTCCTGAGCTTGCAGTGTCTGCTCGAGTGCTTCGAGAATGCAAACACGCTCTACGCAACGCTGTTCGCCGAAGCCGGCGCGCTCGCCGAAAAACTGTACGGGCGCGAGCGCGAGACGGCCACAGAGCTTGTGCGGCTGCACTCCGCAGAGCGCTTCGCCGAAACCTACGGCGCGGCGTACGCCAAGCTGGCCGCGACGTATCAAAAGTACTTGCGCCACTACAGCCGCAGCTACGTCGCGTTCAGCCCCGAGCTGCTCTAACGCGCACGCGCTGCGACGCCGCGCCGCGCGCGTTAGTTGGCGCTGCGCTTGAGCAACGGGCTCTCCGCGCCGCTGTCCTCGCGGTAGCGCGCGAACTGCGCGTGCGCCGCGTTCTCGTCCGCGAACTGCGCGCGCGCAAATGCCGACTTGGATTCCGCAGCAGCGCGCTCGTACGGCAGCGAGTGGAACGGCGCAGTGCGCAGCACGAAGTCGATCTTGCGGTGCAGCGCCTGCAAGTCGCGCCGCAGCTCGTGCATCTCCGCCTTGCGCGGATCCACGTAAGTAAAGTACTTATTCAGCCAG